ACTATAAATACTCGCGTTCCTTCCACCCCAGGTAGTTCTGTTTGTGACTTGAAAAAGCCCACTGTGTGGGCGAAACGTAGTCAATAAAGGATCACATTATACTGCATTTGTGTTTATATTGCCATTGTGTCGGTATTTTATACCATTTATTTCCACCTAGTACCTCCACTAATTCCTCATCTCTTCCACCAGTTCCTCGCTTTACTGGTACTTCTTCACCTAGTGTGTTTCACACATACACAAGCCTCAGACTTAATAACCATCATCCTTGCCAGAGTGTGTGTGATGACACTCAGCCACAGGTCAACAAACGTCGGGGGAGAAAAATAAAAAACACAGATTTGCATCCTCACGCGCCCTCACTATCTTGAAACCTAACACACAAATTCACTACAGACTCCGAACCCAGAGTCGTCGGACCACTTAACACTATCTAACCTTACTCAATATATTTGCATATCCTGCTCCACACCTTCCCTGCCCATCATTGACACTCCTTTGGTCATCCTGGTCCCATCCCTTTAAAACATCTTTTCTCTACTCACCTTGATGAACCTTTGAATATCTTGTATGCTGTGGTTATGTCACCTCCAAGAGTTTTCTCCTTTTTGCTGTGAAATTTAGTTTGATGACATATGTTTAATCCTTTTGAATTTTATGCTAGTGAGAAGATGAAAGTTGCGTCCTGGCGTGCGTGCTTCTTTTACATCTCTCTGACGTGACATTTCTCTCATGGGGAGTCACTGTCTTCTGTTTATTAGCCACTATGTTATCCTTATACCAGCCTCTTATCCCAGTTTAAAGACTAGCTGCTTGCGAGGTACTATACTGAAGGTCGTTCTGTCTGTTTAGGATTATGCTGATCGCTCGTCCATCCCTCCCATCCCTATCAAATTCAACTGAGTTTGTGAAACAGAACTTTCCACTTTTGAACCAGCTTTGAAGCTCTAGCTATAATCTCCTGCTTATTGTTGTTGGGTTGACATACAGCTTCTGGGCCCTCTTATTCTTCATAGGGTTGGTATCGAAGGGTCTTAGTTCCAGCTAATTTATAAAACAATTTTGGACGCATCTTTTGTCTCAGTTCACACTACCTGAACTTCCTACTGTATTATACATTTTCATAAACTTTACACTGAGGTAGTTCTTTCTAACTTCTTTAATCACATATTAATTTACAGTTTCCATGTGTCCCCATGTTCCGCTCATCACATTCAAACTCTTTCCTCGTTTATCTCTCACAGGATGAATATGTAGTACATAATAAAATTATAAATTAATGTCAGTACCGATATCTTCAACGTCATAATTATGTTTCTCAGTCTTTGTTTATTTGGTGTCAAGAGTTTAGGTCAAATAGTCTGTTTTCTCGCTTTTATCCTCAGACGAATACTTCATATTTCTCATCATATGTGCTTGCTTAGGTATTGGGTCTAAATTGCTGCTCCGGAAGATACGATTAGACTAACAGAACATATATAAAATTATCTGAAAGTTGATATTAGGCATAAAAGCCGTTGATAATGCTAGCAAAGTTATTCTATTTGTGGTCTTTGGGTTATATGTTCAGGGACGATGACTATCCTCTATTCCTCACTGTTGGACTCCTGTAGTTGTTTACCATCATAGGTATTACAAGGTTTTCTTCTTGTTTTTCCCATCTGGCAGATTCATTACCATTTTCTTCTCTTCCATTTCTATCCTTTTCATTATTTTGGCCTCATCTTTATACATATGAAAGAGGGATCCTGACAGTATGGCACCTAGTATCGACCTCAGGGTTACCTGCTAGTTATACACATTTATCCAGACATTTCATCCTTCTTAGTGAATGTGTATTTTGTTTTTCAACATTTTTATTAACCCATAACACAGCATGTTACTATAACCTGCGTATATAACTGGTATTTTGTAAAAAACTGTCAAAGTCTATCTTCGAGGCTACAAATCATACTGTCGAAGATATGTATTATGTCTGAAGTACATGTCTATTTTTCTTTATTGAAACAAAATAGAAAAGCAATTTCTTACCTTTTCTCGTTAAAACTATTATTAGAATATGTTCAAAGACAAAACACTGAATGTCTTAAAGAATCAAAATGGAAGTAGCATCTCGCGTTATACTAAGTGTGACAAAAACAGCCGATCACTTTGTTAAATGGTTAATTATGTCAAGGATGCTGCAATCCCAGTTAAAATATTAAATGGACTGGTCCTCAGTACGATCCAGTACTTGAATGTACTGGGTCATGTTGCACCAGTAACCTCATCAACCTGCTTGGTGACTGATGCTGAGTCCCGGGAATGTAAACTAAATGACGAATTGAGAGGAGAGCAATACGTGTGTGTATGTGTGTGTGTGTGTGTGTGTGTGTGTGTGTGTGTGTGTGTGTGTGTGTGTGTGTGTACTCACCTAGTTGAGGTTGCGGGGGTCGAGTCCGAGCTCCTGGCCCTGCCTCTTCACTGATCGCTACTAGGTCACTCTCCCTGAACCGTGAGCTTTATCATACCTCTGCTTAAAGCTATGTATGGATCCTGCCTCCACTACATCGCTTCCCAAACTATTCCACTTACTGACTACTCTGTGGCTGAAGAAATACTTCCTAACATCCCTGTGATTCATCTGTGTCTTCAACTTCCAACTGTGTCCCCTTGTTACTGTGTCCAATCTCTGGAACATCCTGTCTTTGTCCACCTTGTCAATTCCTCTCAGTATTTTGCATGTCGTTATCATGTCCCCCCTATCTCTCCTGTCCTCCAGTGTCGTCAGGTTGATTTCCCTTAATCTCTCCTCGTAGGACATACCTCTTAACTCTGGGACTAGTCTTGTTGCAAACCTTTGCACTTTCTCTAGTTTCTTTACGTGCTTGGCTAGGTGTGTGTGTGTGTGTGTGTGTGTGTGTGTGTGTGTGCGTGCGCGTGCGCGGATATGTACATAATGTATTACCGGTGGCCTTGAGGCACACACACAGCATGACTGGACACTGGCAATATACTTCCCAGTCCACCCAAAATATTCTTTTATCGATAATAAACTCACAAGTCACTATGGCACTGCTGCAACACTACGAACACAAGATGGTTGGAAGACTCGTAACAACAATAATAATAATTCCGAGGGCAAAATAACCACTTAATCACAATGATAACTTCAGTGATATATAAATCATTCTGATTTCCTTAACATTTGGAAGTTATTAACGAAAATGAAAGAAAAAGAAGAAAGATGAAAAATAATAATTATCGACCCATTTACGAAATTCCTTGTAAGTCACTGATGGAAGCGGAGGAGTGGAGGAGAGTTGGAGGAGCAGTGGAGGAGAGTTGGAGGAGCAGTGGAGGAGAGTTGGGGGAGCAGTGGAGTGGTGCAGGATCAGTGGAGTGTTGGAGGATCAGTGGAGGAGCAGTGGAGGAGTGGTGGAGGATCAGTGAAGGACAGTTGGAGGTGCGGTGGAGGAGTGGTGGAGGAGAGATGACAGAGGAGAGAGTGTTTACCACTACTCTCCCTCGCAACAATCATCCACCACAGCCACTATTCTCCCTCACAACAATCACCCACCACCACCACCACAACCACTACTCTCCCTCACAACAACCATCCACCACCACCACTACTCTCCCTCACAACAATCATCCACCACCACCACCACAACCACTACTCTCTCTCACAATAATCATCCACCACCACCACTACTCTCTCTCAGAACAATCATCCACCACAGCCACTATTCTCCCTCACAACAATCATCCACCACCACCACCACTACTCTCCCTCACAACAATCATCCACCATCATCACTACTTTCCCTCACAACAATCATCCACCACCACCACCATTACTCTCCCTCACAATTGTCACCCACCACCATCATCACAACCACTACTCTCCCTCACAACAATCATCCACCACTACCACCACCCTCCCTCACAACAATCATCCACCACCCTCCCTCACAACAATCATCCATCATAACCACTACTCTCCCTCACAGCTATCACCCACCACCACCATCACCACCACTATTCTCCCTCACAACAATCACAATAAGCAATTTCTGGTAAGAATTTAATAGCATGAAGGCTGGTCGAGTCAGTCATCTCTAAATATATTAGGTAGGTGGTGACCCTGGCTGGTGAGTCTTGTGGCAGACTTGTCTCTTGTCTGTAGTAACCACACTTTGTGTCATGACCACTGAATGTGTCATGACTTGTGTCATGACCGTTGCTTGTGTCATGACCACTGTCTTTTTCCAGATCAATGTCACTGTCATGACCACTATCCGTGTCAGGACTACTGTATATGTCATGACATTGACTGTATCATGACCACTGATTGTGTCATGACCCCTGTCATGACTGCTTTGTCATGAGCAATGTATCACGACCACTGATTGTGTCATGACCCCTGTCATGACTGCTTTGTCATGAGCAATGTATCACGACCACTGTCAGTCTGGTGTCATATCTATTATTATTATTATTATTATATTATTATTATTATTATTATTATTATTGTTGTTGTTGTTGTTGTTGTTGTTGTTGTTGTTGTTGTTGTTGTTGTTGTTATTATTATTAATCAGTAATATTTGTACTACTACTACTACTATTACTACTACTACTACTTTTACTACAATTACTGTTACTACTAATAATATTACTACTACCTCTACTACTAATATTACTATCACTCTTTTTACTAGTGCTAATATTGCTACTACTACTTCTACTGCTACTATTATTATTACTACTGCTACTTTTAATATTACTTTTACTATTACTACTAGTACTACTGCTATTACCACTACTTTCACTATTTCTGCTACTTCTACTACTACTACTAATATTGCTACTACCACTACTACTACTATTACTACCACTACTATTTTTACTACTACTACTATTGCTACTTTTACTACTATTACTACTACTACGACTACTCACACCATTACTACAGCTATTATCATTATTAATGTACTCATTATTAAGTTTTGTCTCGACAGTGACCACGAGAAGCACCAACTAGCGACTCACCGGGATGGGTTGGACAACCAGAATACTCATCGTGTCCCTATTAGGTGAGTGTCCCTTTAAAGATTGTGAGTTCTCATTAAATATGTGAGGTGCTGAAAACCCCTGGCACCTGGTAGGCTTATCCCATGACTCTATGTTTAGAGGGGGGGGGGAAGGTGTGTAGACCTATCCCATTAAAGCAAGTCATATGTATCCCACTGGAATATCAGACGTTGAAAAACTTTCATATGGGAAGGGAAAAATAATTAAATTGCGTGATATATCACGACGGGTTATGAACGGGGAATAAATAAATAAATAAATAAATAGATAAACTGAGCTATTTCTTCTTGATTACCAGCGAAAGGCATCGGACAGATGACCAGAAGCCGCGTCAGGAAACACTTGTCCTGTTTCCTGACAAATTATACATATTTATTATTCCAGATTGTCCTGAGGACATCACAAGAAAGACAACCGGACAACAAATGGAAACTTAAAAAACTTTTGCCCATATATATAAAACAATAATATAAAGAGAGTACCATAAACTAAAGATCTAAGTGTCTAAAAAACATTACTAAGTATAGGACTAGTTAAATCAGAAAGATGGAAAGCAAAATCTGAAGCTGTGAGTGTTGACCAAAACAGCTAGTGATTGATAGGTAGTGAGTTATCGTCAATGAATGATAGCTGGTGAATGATAGCTGGTGAATGATAGCTAGTGAATGATAACTTGTTAATGATAACTAGTTAATGATCGTTAGTGAGTGATAACTAATGAATGATAGCTAGTGAAAGATAGGGAGTGAATTATAGCTAGCGAAAAATATCTGGTGAATGTTATGGAGTGAATGACTAGTGAATGATAATTAGTCAATGATCGCTAGTGAATAGCAACATGTGAATGTTATCTAGTGAATAACAGCTAGTGAATGATAACTTATGAATGTTGTTTAGTGAATTACAGCTAGTGAATGATAACTAGTGAAAGATAGCTAGTGGATGATAATTTATGAATGTTATCTAGTGAATGATAATTTGTATATGTTTTGTAATGAATGGCTAGTGAGTGATAACTAGCGAATGATAACTAGTGAGTGATAACTAGTGAATGATAGCTAGTGATTAATAACTAGTGTGAATATTACCTAGTAAATAATTAATTGTGTATGATGACTGTGTATTGTGAGGTATACCATATGTTTAATGCTGCATATTGTGTTCTGTATGCAATACATTGCATGTGGAATATTGTATGCTTGTTGTATGATGTATCCTGGATAATAAGCGCTGTATACAACCTGTTGCACGAGTTAAAATGTATACATTCTGTATGATATATGATGTATAATGAATGATGTATGATGTGTGAAGTATGGTGTACAATGCGTGAGAAAGAATAGTGAATTCTCAGGAATCTTTCTCAAGGTCTGTTGCTCAGTCATGGATTCTGAAGTCTTTCACGATGAGTTATTATTAACTAGTGTGTGTGTGTGTGTGTGTGTGTGTGTGTGTGTGTGTGTGTGTGTGTGTGTGTGTGTGTACTCACCTAATTGTACTCAATTGTAGTTGCAGGGGTCGAGACTCAGCTCCTGACCCCGCCTCTTCACTGTGTGTGTGTGTATGTGTGTGTGTGTGTGTGTGAAGGTGTACTTTCCTATTTGTGGTTCCAGGGGTCAGATCTTAGCTCCTGGCCCCGCATCTCCACCGGCTACGTGAGCCCTGTTTCAATTATTCTTAAGACTATGTATTTATCCTGTCTGTACTCCTTCACATCCTTGGTCGTTCCACTTCCTGACAACGCAAAGGTTAAAGAAGCATTTCCCGACATCCCAATGACTTGTGTTTTTAACTTCCAACTGTGACCTCATCTCTAACAGACTTTCAGTGTCCACCATGTCAGTCCATCTCAGTATTATGTTTGTCGTAATCATATCCCTCATGTCATCAGGTTTAGCTCCTTTAGCCTCTTCTCATAGCTCATACCTCTTGGCTCTAAGACTATTTTCACTTTGAACCTGAGCATTTTTTCCAGCTTCTTAACATGCTCTATCAAATGTGGGTTCCATACAAGTGCTCCTCCCAGGATGGGCCTGACAAATGTCGTGAATAACTCTTTGTTAAGGTTCCTGAAAGATATCCTTAGATTTGCCACTCTCGTGTCTCTTACGGTGTTTATAAGTGTGATGTGTACTTCAGGCGGCATGGTGAGAACTGTACTCTCTCGGAGGTTTTTCTCTTTTAGAGAAGTTTACAGACTTTGTGACCCTAGCCTATGCCCCTTTTCTCGTTACTTCTGCCCTTCCCCAATTTTCATATTTGCCAAGATTAAATTATATTAGCCACTAGTTAGATCGGTTCTGCTGTTTGTCCTGGTCTGTTACGTAGTGAATTCTTATTAGTTTTACATTACTCACGTTTACTCGCTCGTGCCTTTTCTTCTCGCTCTCATATTCTCCGGCATTCTTTCTAAATTTCTTCCGTATCTTTGTACTTTTAGCTTTCTCCTCACTGCACCTCTGGATGAACCATGGGCTCACTCTTGCCTGTGCTTCTTCTAATTCTGGGTTTGATTTTCTTCTCTGCCTCCTGGCACTTTCCCACTACGTACCTCATTGTTTCATTTATTGTCTTTCCATCTCACTTCTTTTTCCCAAGACTCCACTTAAGCACTGCCTCGAGCTCACGCACACTGCTCTTTTGAAATTAGGATTGATCCTTCACACTCGGTGGTTTTTCTCCATCATCACTTCCACAAAGTACTCAAAGTTCAAACTGCAGAGCCCCTAGCAATGAAGTGTTTTTCTTATTCAATGCCTCTACATCAGAGTAGTTTAGGGTAAATGAGGTGTGTGGATATGTGTCGCGGGAGGGGGGAGGGAAGGCGTGGAAGGTTGGCGTGTTTGTAGATCAAAAATTTAGCAAGCACTGCTGTTTGGATGAGTGCATCACACACACACACACATACACACGATCCGGCAGCCACATATAGGTGAGTACTTACATGTGAATGTACACACACACACACACGCACACAGCCGTGTGAGGCAGTAAGGGGGCGTTGCCTTCTGCTGATACTCGTTGAAACCACGTAATGACACGCTCGACTGGTAAGAAAAATACAAGAGCTTAATCACCTTCACCGCCGGACGTCGTTTCTTATTTTTATATAAGCAAAAATTGGATACATCAGCAGTGTGGTGCTAACCTATTCTAAATGATAGCAGGAACAAGATATAGCAATGTTGTCTGCCACGTTCCATTACAAACGATGCGTTTTGTTGTATAAAAATCTGTTACCTTGAACTGGGAGACTTCAGTAAGGCAATCAGGGTATCGTCAAGTTGTGGTTTCAGAAGCTATGGGAACTGCTATGGTTTGATAAAATAGACACATGTGCAACTCTTGGGTATCTTTATTGAGGAAACGTTTCGCCACACAGTGGCTTCATCAGTCCATACGTAGGAGAAAGTTGAAGAACAGGAGGAGAATGAGGTAATCAGTCCCTCAACCTTGAGTCGATGTGTTCAGTCCATTCAAGATTGATGGACTGAACACATCGACTCAAGGCTGAGGGACTGATTACCTCATTCTCTTCTTGTTCTTCAAGATTCTCCTTTGTATGGACTGATGAAGCCACTGTGTGGCGAAACGTTTCCTCAATAAAGATAACCAAGAGTTGCACATGTGTCTATTTTATCAACATGTCGGTTCTCTGAACCATTCATCTGCTATGGTTTGGTTGGGTGGACACAGAAATAAGCAATAAGCAGGTTTTAAAAGTAGTAAAGAGTGACAGTGTTAACCTGACACACTCTGGCTCGCGAGAGACAACTTATATCTGTTGTAACACTTGAAGTTGATTGTTTCCTGACCTCATGACACTGTGGTTTGTTTACATCACACAGGACCCCACCCACAACCCCAACCCCTCTAGCCCTCCTATCCCACTCCTTCCCTCCCCAACCGTACCTCCCCAACCAACCCCCTCCTTCCCTCCCCAACCAACCCCCTCCTTCCCTCCCCAACCAACCCTCTCCTTCCCTCCCCATCCTCTTTTTTAAAACCTCGTTTATTCGTTCATAAACCACACCCACAACACTACCACTACTCTCGCTAGTTTAATTTGCCTTACTTTAGAATAGGTTTTTTTTGCTTCAGTTTCGGCAGCTGACGCGGCTAGTTTATTGTTCACAATATGTCCATCATGTTCACTTATGAGGATTTCCGGACTAACAAGACATTTAGGAATTATATCTTTCAAGGAAGAAAATACTGCTTTGCAAATGCATAATATTCACTATTTTCTTCTATTTTATCAGGTGCAAAAAGTTCTGTAATTTTGTTTTCAATACCCTGTTTTATTATTAATATTATAATTATACAATATTTAAGTTATTTACATTTCAACTTGAATAAGTGTAGACAGCATATACCATTATACACACACACACACACACACACACACACACACACACACACACACACCACACACACACACACACACACACACACACACACACACACGTTAAGAAACTGGAGAAAGTGTAAACGTATGTAACGAGGCTTGTTGCAGAGCAAAGGGTTATTAAGGCTTGTTGCAGACCAAAGGGTTATCAAGGCTTGTTGCAGAGCAAAGGGTTATCAAGGCTTGTTGCAGAGCAAAGGGTTATCAAGGTTTGTTGCAGAGCAAAGGGTTATCAAGGCTTGTTGCAGAGCAAAGGGTTATCAAGGCTTGTTGCAGAGCAAAGGGTTATCAAGGTTTGTTGCAGAGCAAAGGGTTATCAAGGCTTGTTGCAGAGCAAAAGGTTATCAAGGCTTGTTGCAGAGCAAAGGGTTATCAAGGCTTGTTGCAGAGCAAAAGGTTATCAAGGCTTGTTGCAGAGCAAAGGGTTATCAAGGCTTGTTGCAGAGCAAAAGGTTATCAAGGCTTGTTGCAGAGCAAAGGGTTATCAAGGCTTGTTGCAGAGCAAAGGGTTATCAAGACTTGTTGCAAAGCGAAGGGTTATCAAGGCTTGTTGCAGAGCAAAGGGTTATCAAGGCTTGTTGCAGAGCAAAGGGT